GCCTTGTTTCCATACAATTCGTGAGTGTCATCGGCCGATAAAGATAAAACAGATATCGCTAGGAACAGCATAATTCAGTGAGCTGAATCTTTACGTTTAGATGACTAGCTTGTTGAGGTAACACAATAGTAAATGGCCTCAATGGTAAAAAAATGATAAAAAGACAAGGAATATTACACTGTCAACGACTTGAATTATTGGCGACTATTGACATATATTAGAGGAAATATTTTTAATAAATCATCCTAAATTTTGGCATATGCAGATGATGTGGATCTAGTTGCCCGCACAACACACAAGCTAGAAGAAATGTATACCACCTTCTCAAATGCCTCAAAATCTATGGGCCTGCAAGTAATTGAGGAGAAAACCAAGATGATGGCATCAACACCCAACAATAGAGTCAGGAACATCGGTCCCCAATTCACGGTTGATAACTCTACCTTTGAAGTTGTGGACAAATTCACATACCTAGGCTCACTGATCACCAAAGAGGACTCCATAATGGAAAAAATCAAGCGAAAGATAATAATTGCAAACAGATGCTATTTTGAACTGAGTAGACATGTGAGAAGTAGAAACCAAAAAACAAAAATAACGATATACAAAACCCTTATACAGCCAGTGTTGACATATGGATCGGAGACATGGACCATCTTCAAGGCAGACGAAGACCTTCTGCTTATATTTGAATAAATGATCCTGAGAGGAATATTTGGTGGCATCTGTGAAAATGGTCTTTAAAGGAGGAGATACAACTACGAGGTATATTACAGATATAAACAAATATTTGGTGGTAAAGACGTAGTATCTCTTAAAAGAATAGGAAGACTAAGATGGGCAAAACATCTAGCAAGATCACAGCAGAACAACCTTCCTAGAAGACTCCTTATGTCACAACCCGTGGGAAGTAGAAAAAAGGGTAGGCCAAAACTCAGATGGAAGGATGGTGTAGATGAGGATGGTAGAAAGATAGGCGCAGCAAATTGGCAATGGTTGACAATGGATATGACTGCCTGCCGTAATAGACTTGGGAAGGTCGAAGCTCTTTTATAGGGCTGTAGCACCATTGATGATGATAATTGACATATATTGGCGTCTATTGGCGTCTTGGCAGACTTATTAAGTATAAGAACAATAGTGAAAATTTACTATAGAGAAACAGGTAGAAAGATAGATGGATAATAATATAATAAAAATTAAACTCACCGTCAGTTAAACTGCTTACAATGGGAGTGCACAAAAAAATGATCTCGATTTGCAATAATCTCCAAGGATTGAAAAACTTAGTCCAAGAAGGTAAAAAGTTTGGGTTGATCGTGCTAGATTAGCTCTAATTAAAGGTATTAAGATGGGACCGTTTAGAATCAAACAACTTTTTCTTGCCTCGAAAGTTAACATGTGGAAGATAAAATGGTATTTGAACGATTTTAGGAAATATACTTCGAAATTAACAAACAAAGAGATGTTAAAGTGTTACAAAGGCGTAGTTAGAAACGTTTTGAAAGTAAATAATTGGAAGAAATAGCGAGATACTGTAAACATGCTTCAAGGTGAGAAAATTAAATACATATAGGCAATTGCCTTCGACTTATGTTAGCGCCATAGTTCCAAGCTTCCTGGCAAACTGGACATAATTCACCAGATTTTTTGTACATAATAATAATAGTTGGACTCTGTGCTCTAATGTTTATCATATTAATGCTATGGAGTATATCTATTAATAATAACAACTAATTCAATGTTACTTCTGATATACGTAACAACGTCATACAGGTAGTAATAAATAGCTATAAATATTTTAACTGACGTTTAATATTTATATATTGCTCATTTAGTATTAACACATAGACATTTAAGAGCTAGTCTACACCTCAAAAATGAATGATCTATTCAGATTTAATAGACACAATACTGTAATCATTTAATTTAACAAATTAAAAATATTTCACTAAATATGATTTATGCATTTGTTTTACAAATAGGTATCTGATCGTCTATGTTGTCTAAGAATAAGAGGAAAATATCAAAAAATCACATTCATTAACATTCACTCACCGTCAGAAGAAAAAGATATTGAAGTAAAAGAGAATTTCTACTGTGAATTTAATAGGGTATTTGAAAGTATTCCAAGATATGACATTAAAGTAGTACTGGGGGACGCAAATGCAAAGATAGGAAAAGAAGAAATATATAGAACAACTATAGGAAAATTTAGCAAACACGAGGAAAGTAATGAGAACGGGCAGTTTTTGATAGATTTTGCCAAAGAAAAAAATATGCTAGTAACGAGTACATATTTCGAGAGGAAAACCATCTACAAAGCAACATGGCGATCCCCAGATGGAAAAACATTAAATCAAATTGACCATGTACTAATAGAGAGAGAAGACCGAAAATGTATAAAGAACGTGCGATCATACAGAGGACCAGACGCTGACTCGGATCACTTCATGTTAGGAATTAAAATGGCTCAACTGATACCGGAAGAAAAAAATCGCAAAAGAAAAAATAAGAACACAAATAAACCAGTGCGGCTTGTAACACAAGAAGAACAAGAAATGTATAGAAAAGGTATCGATAGAAAATTAAATGAAATACACCTAGAAGGGCACATAGACAAGGACTGGGACAAAATTCAGCAGATTATCAGTAACACAGCTAAAGAATGCAATAAAAATATAACTAAAAAGAAAAGGATTGGTTTGACGAAGAATGCCAGAAAGAAATTGAAGAAAGAAGTAAACTAAGGATGGATATGATCAAAAGTGATACGGAAGAAACAAGAAACAGATATGAAAAACAAAGAAAAATCGTAAAAAAAGTTTTGAGAATGAAAAAGAGAAAGTACATGGAAAATCAGCTGAAAGAAATAGAAGAAAATTACAAAAATCGAGAAATTAAAAATTTATACCAGGGAGTAAAATATGAAAAAAGAGGATACCAACAGAAAACAATATTTTACAAAGATAAAAAGGGAAACGCCATTAGTGGAGAAAATGAAATAGCCGCTAGATGGAAAGAATACTTCGATGAATTGCTAAATGACGAAAACAGGATAGAACAGCCACAGCCTATAAGAACGGAGAAACATAGAAACTAAATAAATGAGACAGAAGAAACACCCCCTACCAGAAATGAGATAAAGGAAATAATAAAGAAATTAAAAAATAACAAGAGTCCACGAAGTGATAATATAACTGCAGAGATGTTCAAATATGGAGGGAAAACGCTAGAGGAGCAAATGTTCAAATTAATAAAGGAGATTTGGATCAAAGAACAACTACCACAAGAATGGACAGATGCAATTATATGCCCACTTTATAAGAAAGGCGATAGGACAGAATGTCAAAATTACAGAGGGATATCACTATTGAATACTGCATACAAAATTTTTGCAGCGTGTATAAAGGACAAATTGGCAGGAGTGATAGAAAACATTGTCGGCGAGTACCAATGTGGCTTCAGACCTAGTAGAAATACAACAGATCAGATATTTACGCTCAGAGAATTGCAAGCGGAAAGTTATCAACACAATCTGCCGACAAGAGTCCTCTTCATTGATTTCAAACAAGCGTACGATAGGATAAAACGGAACTAAATAAGCAAAGCACTAGAAGAATTGGGTATCAGTAGAAAACTTATAAGAATGATACAAATTACGTTGTCCAAGACTGAGAGCAGAGTTAAAATAAATAATATAATGTCGGAAAAATTTGAAGTCAGTGAAGGAGTAAGGCAAGGAGATCCCCTATCATCGATACTATTCAGCTTGTGTTTGGAGAAGGTCATACGAGATGCAAATGTCAACAGAGAGGGATTGTTATACCAAAGAAAACACCAATGTTTAGCCTTTGCAGACGATGTAGTAATACTGGCACGAAGCAAATGGGAGCTACAAGAAGTAGTAAAGAGGCTAGATAGAGAGTCAAAGAAAATAGGCTTAGCTATCAACGAAAGTAAGACAAAATACATGGAATAGATAGATGACAGTAAACAAAAAGGAGGAAATCTAAAAATAGAAGTAGAGGGTGAAAAAGCATATATATTTGAAGCAGTGGAAAGATTTACATACCTGGGGTCGATGTTCACATGCAAACCAAATATTAGAGAGGAGCTCCAATCAAGAATAATGGCAGGAAACCGATGCGTGTACTCATTAAAAAGGCTATTAAAAAGTAAACAGATATCTAGGAATGCCAAAATAAGGATTTACAAAACAGTTATACAACCAGTGGTAACCTACGCCAGTGAAGTGTGGACACTGAACAAAGGCGAAACAGGTATGCTCGAAATATGGCAAAGGAAGGTTTTGAGAAAGATATTTGGAGGCAAGATAGTAGACAATACATGGAAAAGAAGAACAAATAAAGAATTAGAAGATATGTACAAGAATCCTAGTATAGTGGGAGTAGTAAAGGCTTAGAGACTCAGGTGGCTAGGACACATAGAAAGGATGACAAATTCTCGAGTACCAAAAATGATTCTGATGCATACAATGGGTACAAAAAAAGGAGAGGAAGGCCGAGAAGTAGATGGAAGCAAGAAGTAGAGAAAGACCTAGAAACACTGGGAATAGAAAGATGGAAGGGCAAGGCTACTAATAAGAAGAAATGGAAAACAATAACAGCTCAAGCCATGGGCCTACTAGGCTCGTAGTGCTATTATATATATATAATATATATATATATATATATATATATATATATATATTATATTATATATATATATATATATATATATATATATATCTGATTTATAACAGCAACCTTTTTGACCTATAGCAACAATCATTGAACCTTTGATTTATAGCAGCAACATATGCTATTATATAAGTAGCAATTTTTCATTGATTAATAGTAATCTTTAAGGTATTTCGCACTTTGGTTTTTTTATATCCAAAAATATAGACCAAATTCATAGCATGAGTAATAAACAAATTTTATTTTTGGTATTTTGTTTTATACATTCATTCTACAGCCGGGATATTGCTCTTACAGGTTTAACTCAAAACACTTGTGATATGCACGACTTCAAACATGTTACCGCAATGGCTGACTATGCCCTTCGATTAAAGGAACTACTTGAGGAGGTAAACGAACATTCCTTCAACCACTTTAGAATCAGAATCGGTATTAACGTCGGACCAGTGGTCGCTGGAGTAATAGGCGCTCGCAAACCGCAGTATGATATTTGGGGAAATGCTGTCAATGTGGCCAGTAGGATGGATAGTACAGGAATTCAAGATAAAATCCAGGTAAATAGATCTAGAAATATTTTAGTTGTAACACAAATAATAACATATAGAAATTTAGTTTAAATTAAGAATACATGGTCAAATTTCTGAAACGATTATACCTTGAAAGAGGGGTGTTAATAGAAATATGGTAACTTTACAAAAGAGACAAATAAATATTTAAATTATTTTTGTAATTGTCGCCAAATTTATGAGGTAAATTTATTCGTTAGGATGCGGAAGATTTTTGTAAAAAATAACATGACTAAAAATCATTTATTACTGCAGTCTAACATGTTTGGTGAAGAGAAGCTATGCTTTTAAACATATACTAAATAGCCTAGGGGTTACACGGGTTAATTTATAAATTATAAGACAATTATATTGTTATGTTATATGAACTGATATGACAATGACTGAATGACAATTAGGCGAGCGGTTTACCCCTAAAAAGACGCTTAGAAATATACTAACTAATTTTTTTGCATTTCTACCTCACCAAAGTTGTTTATTAGATTCTATACATATATTGTTTCAAGTTTAAATATATTTTTCTTAAATTTTCTGGAACGGAAATTGTTATGAACAAATAACGTATATATAATAAAAAAAAAACAATTTCTAGAGTCGTTTTGAATAAATTTTTCGAATCTAATGGAAGTAAATACTTTTTCTCTCTGGGTATTTTTTTTAAATACTTCTTTTTCGAGTTATTTGCAATTTTTGGTTGACAAAACGTCTACATTAGTAAATTCTGAGATTTTTTTCAAAAAATTATAAATGAATTACAATTCCACAAAAAGGTCTATAATCTTTATAGAGGTAAACCGTTCACGTATAATTATAACAATTCATATCCTCTGAAAATGAAGTGAAGTGAAGTTTCGATAACAACAAAATCAAATACCTGACCTACCTGGCCAGGTAATAATATAAGGAATATAAGCAAAGTAATTAAAACCAGGTCCATTAAAACTTAAAAATGAAACGAACCAGCTGAGTATACCTACAGTTAAGACTAACTTTATTTTATTCCAAAAGTGAATACAACTTACGGGTTAATATTGTACCAAAATTAACTTCTGGTAAATTGCAGATTGTAAAATGTGTAAAGTTATATGCACTTTGATTATCGTTAAATAAAGTAATACGTTTAGTTTTTTCAATTAAATCACATAGCAAAAATCTAAGAAATATTCTTTTTAGCAGCCTGTAACAAGGCCATATATTATGCCTCGCAACTAGATAAAGCTATAGTTTTTTATTTTGCACTGAATTATGTTTTGAGTAAATCAGTAAATAGTTATTAGTGTCTTTTGAATACCTCCATACTTTTTATGCACATTTTCAATGATACTTATTATATACATCGTTAAATTGGCTCATGTAACTGACTGTAAATGATATAGCTGGTCGAACATAACATAAACATCTATCATCTATAAGAATCTATCATGATTTAGAAAAAGTATTAGCACCTACAAAGAAACACGATCTCAATATTATCATGAGAGATTGTAATGCAAAGATTGGTGAAGGTGAACAGGCAGATATCATAGTTAAATATGGTCTGGGAATTAGTAATAGCAAACACGTCGTCTTTACATCTAGAAATTAACAGCAGATACACCTGAACGAGTTGTTCGTAACCAAATAGAATTCATATGTATAAATAAGAGATACAGAAATTCAGTATTAGCAGTAAAAACATATCCAGGTGCAGATGTACCAACAGATCACAATATTTAAGTAGAAAAAATAGGACTGAGATTAAAAAGAGTTGCAAGTACGAATAAGCAAACAGTTACTATTGATAGAGAAAATATGTTAAATGATACTGTAAAACAAGAAATAACTGGTATTTTCGAACAAAAAATGAAGTTAACATTAAGCAAAGAGGAAAATACTGAGGAAAATTGGATGAGTATTAAAGACATCTTATAGACTGTTCAAGAAACAAAATTGAGTACGCTAAAAGTAAGAAAAAAACAAGGGTGAATGACAGAAGAAATACTGAGACATGTATCAAGGAAGAAAAGTCAGAAATAAAGATAAAAACTAATACAAGAGGATTCACGCAATAATCAGGCCGAAGATAAGACACGCGACGACACAACAATTACTATACAGACCAAACAATTTTTGTCACAGAATCAACTTAAGTCCCGTTTCAAGTGGGAAACCCTCATAAAGTTTTCATTTATAATTTAGAGATTGATTTCGATGGAATCTTAGGCCTCGATTTCTTAGAACATTACGAGTGTACGATAGACCTCAAAAACAAACAACTAATCACAAACTTTAAAACATTTTTTCTCCATAAAGTAGAAATTAATTCGCGTAACAATGAACCCCCTAATCAAATTAAAATAGATCCCAGATCCGAACAAATATTCAAATTAAAATGTCATCTGTCGAATACAGATGCAATTTTGCACAGAAAAGAAAAAGAAAAAGTCCATATCCCCAACGCGTTAGTACACGTCAATGAAAAAGGAGAATGATTACCGTAGGAAACGCAAATGCAATTCCCAAAATTATCGACTTTTCCGATATAGTAATTGAACCCTATTCGAATTACCCTATCCTAAACTTCCAGTCAAACGATAACTTGGAAAATTATTGCCCTGATAAAATTGACCATACAAACAAAATCAAATCTCGACTTCGAACAGAACATCTTAACGAGGAAGAACAAGAACTCATAACAAATCTTTGCTTACATTACGAAGACATATTTTACTTAGAAGGAGACAACCTCACTTTCACCAGTGAGATTAAACATCAAATTGAAACTAATAACGCCAAACCCATTTTTATAAAATCATACAGATATCCTCAGGTCCACAAAGAGGAAGGTAAATCTCAAGTAAATAAGATGATTAACGAAGGTATCATCCGGCCTTCTACTTCTCCTTGGTCATCTCCTGTTTGGGTTGTTCCCAAAAAATAGACACTTCTGGAGAATAAAAATGACGAGTAGTAATAGACTACCGCAAGCTCAATGAATGTACCATTGACGATAAATACCCTCTTCCTAATATCTTCGATCTCTTAGACCAGCTTGGAAAATGCCAATATTTCACAACTCTCGATCTTGCCTCTGGATTTCATCAGATTGAAATCGATCCCAAAGATATTCCTAAAACAGCCTTCTCTGTCAAAAACGGACACTATAAATTTACACATATGCCTTTTGGACTTAAAAATTCACCGTTCACATTCCAGCGTGTCATGGACAATATTCTATTAGGTATTTTGAACAAACGATGCCTTGTCTATATGGACGACATTATAGTATACTCTCCTACTATTCACGAGCATATTTCTCGTCTTACCGAAGTCTTTAAACGTCTTCGAAAAGTCAATCTTAAAATCCAGCCTGATAAATGTCAATTTTAAAAGAGAGAAAAATTCAAAGATTTTAAAAGAGAGCAAATGATCTAGGGATTTTAATATACAGCATTTTTAAAGAATGTCTAAATTGACATTATCAAAAGTAGTGGAAATGTCAAGTTACTCAGCTGCTATAGACTTATTTAATATAAAATTAAGTTGAATTGACGTAACTAGACTGCAGTTGCATCATAAGTGGACCTAGACTTGAGTTCCAATGTTCCTAACCAATGTTCAAATCTATTTTTAATTATTCTTTTAAATGTTTTTAAAAGATATGAAGATAAGGAGATAGGTCGGTAAGAACTTGGATCACGTTCTGGCCTGCCAGGTCTTAAAATCGGAATTACCAGGTACTCTTTCCAACTATTTGGTACTGGTATCTTATTGGTCCAAATACTGTTGAAAATATTCACAAGTGAAATTTTATATTTTAACGGTAAGTTGTATAATAGCGAATATTACATATTATCTATACCAGGAGAAGTAATATTTTTTTGTTCAAGGGCTTAATGCAATTCCCATAGATGGAAATTGTTGTCAAAATGGTGGTTTTGTGTGGGTACTGTTTGGAACCCATGCCGGGCTTTTTTTGTGGAATTCCAGCAATCATATATCTTCTGGATCAATAGGTACTTTTTGGTTTGCTTGCGGTTTTTAAAATAATTAATTTTTTGTCAGACATCTTTTATTGGTGTTCTTGAGTTTAGGCTTTCAAAATTTAATCCAATTTTTCTTTTTCTACTGTTTGAAGATTTTCTTTGCAATAACATCGAGTCGATAATACTCCATTAGGTTTTGGAGTGTTGTATTCTGTTTATAATTAATAAACGCATGTTTTCTATTTTCACCTACTAACTTACAATGATTGTTTTACCACGTTTTCGGGATATGACCTTTTTTTTTCGGTAATGTAAAAATGTTTTGGGATAGCGACGTTAACTGCCTGGTTTACATTTGTCAACAATTCTTCGTAGATTAATGGTATTTACATTATTTTCAAAGTACTGGTATACAACATCTAACTGGCTCTGCTAAGGTTCCATATTTTATGTTTTCTAGTAGATGTGGCTTCTGCCGCGGAGAAACTTTGTAAAGAATAAATATTTGGCACATGATCAGATTCATAAAATTCTTGTAAATTGTTCCAACGAAAATACTAGGCAATGTCTCGGGAACAAATGAGACAATTAAGTTTACGGCAGGTTTATTGGAAACAGCAAGACTGGGAGACCCGTCGTTAAAATTTTCTAAATTGCAGTATTTTATAGCATCTAGAAGATCTTTACATAATCTATCATCGACGTGGCAGGCCCGTACCAAATTGTGTGCTTAAAATCACCTCCGATTATAAATGGTTCATTTTTTTAAAAATTGATCCATTGTTAAATTAAAACTTTGATCCTGGGTTCACTATATAGAAAAATTACATATAAAGGTTTCTTGAAATGTATTTTTTTAAATACAACTATATTATGTAAACGAATACGTATTTTGAAAAATTCTTTCTTTACATTTTATGCTGGATTTATTAAGTATTATAATTTCTCTTTACTAGCAACTGCTGGACGACAGTTCTATTGTAATATGTTTATTTTATGTAAGTTTGCCAATTTGATACTAGATTTTGGTTAAAATGGTAACTAATGATCTGAATTACTTCAAATTTAAAAATATTGAAATTATTATTTTGTTTAATTGAATAAACAATTGTAAAAACCCAATCTAAAATGACATTTATTACAGAAAAATCTAAATCTTCTGATGGTGAGTCTGCAATGTTTAAGTTTTTTACGTAGAATTGACTTTTAACTAAGGTAACTACTATACTCTTTACCGACTATTTCCTATCACCGACCGCAATGAATTTTTTCACTATTAGACCCATTATGAAAAGTCCATATAACTACTGAAACTTTTAACAGTTTCCTTTAACAAAATCATAGATATGGCAACAATAAAAACACAAGCCAGCCGCTAACTAATGCCAAATTTGACAAATTTTAACGAATTTCGCAGAGGTGTTGCCAGACTCCGTAAGGCAGGTTATAAGAATCATTGTGCACGTGTGTTGATATTATTAAGCATTTGTTAATATATTAAAGGTTAGTATTGCACTTTTATAACAAGAAGTAGCACAAAACCACGTTTTTTTAAAGATTGAATGTGTTCGTTCATTAATTATTTTCTCCAATTAAAATTTATTTACAATTAAAGAATGGTCGGTAAAAGGTGCTTTAAAACTTAAAATCAACCCTTTACTGACCAAGGAAAATGTAGTCATTGAATATTGTAATATTTTTATTATATTTTAGCACACAATTATTCACAATATATATATATATATATATATATATATATATATATATATATATATATATATATATATATATTATATATATATATATTTTCTTAAAGATAATAAATCAATGGTTCACATGAGCATTTACCGACTAGATTTTAATTTTCAATTCGAAGAAGTAATATGAAAGTTGAATAAAAATGTATTTTTTTGGAAGAATTACTTTCAAATAGAATAAAATATTAAGTCTCATATTTCTAAAAGTCTGTTTTTAAACGGGAAACGATTCATATTCATGGTACTGCATTGATTTATAGATGAAGGAAATGTATGAATTTTAAATTATTCAAAAGTAGTCTCCTAAAGTAATATTTTTTCACGGTCGGTAATAAAGTGCAAAATAGATGTATTGTGACCTATTCCCTACCGAGAATATTATGAACGTTTTCTTTTCAGATTCAAGAAAAACTTTGAGCTATTTCTGAAAAACAAAAAAACTATACCAATGAAATTCTTCAGTTTGATTTAATTCGAAATGAAATGTCGTTTAGAAAAGCATCAAGAGAATTCAAAATTTCAAAAAGCACCCTAGTCGATAAAATTATAACAAATATGAAGAAGATGCTACAAGTGGGGCCTACTAAGTCCTGACGGCAGCTGAAGAATAAACCATAGTAGGTTGGATTCTATATTTAGTATTGCAGAACTAGTTCGCCGTCTAGAACTGATGGAAGCCGATGGAGTCTAGATGGAATTTCAGGTCGTCATTGGTACGAAAATTTCTTCTCCAGGTATCTGGAGCTCTCTCATCGAGTAAGAGTCAAAATCTATGCATACCTCTGGCAAATATAACAGAAAAAAGTGTAAGACGTTTTTTACTTTTGACAGTTTCAGCAGAAGGACAACTTGTGAAACCTACTGTTCTCTTTTCCTATAAATGAGTACCAGCCAGTATGCCTCTTGGCTGGGGTATTGGCCATTCAGTCTTCGGGTGGATGACTGGAGAATGTTTTTATGAATTTATTATGAATGTATTCTATAAAAAAAATGTTTAAAAAAAGGTTCCTTTACCTGTTGTACTTTTTCTATATGGGAATTCTTCACATTTAGCGCTCCATCCAACTGAGTTCTGCAAAAGCAAAGATATTGTTCTAATTGCTCTTTTGCCTAACTTCACATATCTATTGCAACCACTAGATGTTGCTATTTTTAGGCCTCTTAAACTTTCCTGGAAAACAGAATCCATAATTGGCGTATTGAGAATATTGGCAAAAAACAAAAACGGAAAGATTTTGCAGAGGAACTAGACAAATGTATTAGGGATAGCGTTACCGAGGTTACAGTAAGAATTGGTTTTAGAACTTGTGGAATGATTCCATATAATCAGAATAACTTTGACTACACCAAACTACTTGCTCAAGTTGAGCCAAAAACGTAAGAAGGAATGGCAGGTGTTCTAAAGTGGAGTCAATTTTTAATTAAAATCAAAAAAAGAATTGATAAAAAACTTATAGAACAATTTTATAATTGTGGCGATATTTGAAAAGAAAGTCTCTTAAACGAAGAATTGTTCTATTTCTGGAGAAAAGTTAAAAACTAAACACCGAATATCCAAAATAAAAATCATATCCAGGACGCTACTCTAGAAGCAAATATGCCAGAATATAATGAGATTTCCAACATTAGTTCGAATTTAGATACTTCTATTTGGGACCAAGAGCAAATCATGCTGGTCAACCTGATGGTCCTTTAGTGCAGGAAGCAGAATGTGAAAACTCCACTGTTTCGAAAGATATTCTGTTTCCAGTAACTGAAATAAGGGGCCCTGTTTTAGCAACGATTGAGCTTCCATTATTGGAGCAGCATAATACAAGACCACAAGAGAAGTAAAAACTATTGAAGATAAACTTTCAGAAAAGAAAATAATTGCACCGGAGACGCCCTCGAAAAATATTTCAGTAACTCAAACAATTAAAAAATAGTAAAAAAAATACTCCTACAGTCGCCACTTCGGAAGAATTTGTAGAATACCAACGGAAAAACCATGCCGAAAAGAAAAAAAATTTGAGTGTAAGAGAAGAATAATGATTTTAAAATCAAATACAAACAAATAAAAAAAAACAACAAAAGTGGTATAAGAAAAACATATTTTTTCTAGTGAAAAGGTAACAATAAATTAACGTCTAAATATAGTAGACCAGAGAAATGATGTCGAAAGGCTGTAGCAACAAATAAAAAAATCAATTACGGAGTCAGCAGAACTAATAATAGTAAAAAGCAGGAAAATAAAAAGGAAATAGTTTGATAGAGAATGTCAAGAAAAACTACACGACAGACAGATAAAGCGAAACATTATGCTTCAACAAGGAAGAACAGAAAGTAAAGAAAACTATGCAACTTCATGCCGAGAAACAAGAAAATTAATAAGAGAGAAAAACAGGAAGTACGAACCACAGAAATATGAAGAAATGAAAGAATTAGTCAACAGTCAAATAGTCGAGCATTTTACAAATCAGTGTCAAACGCAAAGAAAGGTCAGACCTAGATGCGTGTACTGTACCGGTAGAGGATCCCCCGGAAAATAGATGAATTCCTTAAGTACTGAGGAGAAACTCTACTTAGACAAATACAGAAAGTATTGCACTAACACTTATATGGATCTAAGAGAAAATACCAACAAAATAGCACGAAACTGTAATAATCCCCGTCCATAAAAGGAAGACAAAAACAAGTGTTCTAATTATAGAGGTATCTCCTTACTTAATACGCCATATAAAATCTTAACGAACATTCTACTAAGTAGGCTGACACCGTTTGTAAAAAAATTCATTGGGGAATACCAAGCCGGCTTTAGACAACATAAATCGACCATAGATTAGATCTTTACTCTAAGATAGCTGCTTGAAAAGAAAAAATAAATAAAATTTAATAGAACTATCCATAATCTCTTCATAGATTTCCGGCAAGCGTACGACAGTATTAACAGGGATCAGATGTGGAATGCAATAGCAGAACTTTCAGTTCCAAAAAAGCTTATCCAGCTTGTTAAGTTATAAGTGAGTAGCTGTAGATCCAGAGTACGGATAGGTAACAAACTCTCAGAATCTTTTGAAATAAGCTGTGGCCTGAAACAAGGAGATGCGCTGTCACCTCTCCTTTTTAATAATATCCTGGAGAAAGTAGTAAGAGCAGCACAACTTAAAACAGAATTAGTGACAGTAAATGGACCAAAATTACGCAGATGACATTGACATTGGTGGAAACACAGTCACCAATGTGAAGGAGACTTTTAATAAATTGGAGGTAGACGCAAATAACTGATTTAAGCGTAAACTAAGAGAAAGCTAAATACATCCAGGGTGCTGTCTTACTTAATAAACTACTACTAACTACTACTAATACTACTTACATACTGGCATGTAGGTAGTATTTTGTTTATTAAATAATTTATTAGAATTCAATAGATTATCTTATACCAATTTGTGGGTTTTTACTTTGTATCCTTAATTAACTTTTATTCGTATTAATAAACAGAGACATGTAATATCGGCATAATTACTGTAATTTTTAGTAATAAAATAGATGTCAAGTAGATATGTTATCAAAATTTAAATTTTTACTCTTATAGTTTTAAGTATCGCATATCTCGCAAAACAGGAAACCAAAAAAGGTATACCTTATATACGTATTTCTGACTATTGGTCGTCTTTAGTAAGGTGCAGCCAAGTTAGAACAAAAGAAAATATATTACATATTGTTTATGTTTATAGTTTTATACTTCTAAACAATTATTAAAATTTAAAAATTAACTTTAATTCTTTTTTAGATCACAAAAGAAGTAAACCAGATTCTACATGCCAAAGGTTATCCAACCAAATGTCGAGGTACAATCAATGTAAAAGGTAAAGGATCAATGGAAACTTTCTTTCTCGAAGGCCCTGTCAAAAATCGACCTAATATAACTTTAAATCCTTTAGCTTCTAGTTTCGAGGATAAATCAGAAGAACCAATGAGGACTACTTTAGGAACTATTTCTGAAAAAAACTAAAGACTTAAATTTTCTTACCTTATCTTGTAATTTAAATCGCATTTCCAGGCATTAGGTCTTGAAAATATTTTTAATATATGGAGATACTCATCATAGGAGAGATTAGATATTTAGTTTTCTAGAATATTACGTTTGCATTATTTTGTTATATTTTATTTAAAATTGTTAACAAATAGATGTAATTATATCGGAAAATAAGTCTTTACACTGTCTATTACCGACTACCTTTTCCTAATATATCTTTTATAATATATATGTATATATAGTAAAATTTACATTACAGCAAAAGCTTTGGTATTACTCTTATATATATATATATATATATATATATATATATATATATATATATATATATATATATATATATATATATATATATAGGTATATATAATTCTTTGGAGGGTAACTTTCGGGAAAGCGTCAAAACAAGGATCAGCTAGAGATGGTATAAGCCAGTTTGGTGTAGAACTTTATTCTAAATGTGAAATTTTCGGTGATATGTTGTCACCTTCATCAGCACCTAAATGGAAAACCTATTTTAGTACAAGTGGTGGTAATCAACACTATCACCGAAAATTTCATATTTAGAATAAAGTTCTACACCAAACTGGCTTATACCATCTCTAGCTGATCCTTGGTTTGACGCTTTCCCGAAAGTTACCCTCCAAAGAATTGCATTCTTAGCGTCGTTATACACACTCTATATATATATATATATATATATATATATATATATATATATATATATATATGTGTGTGTGTGTAAACCACCATAAGGAAGCCATTTGCGCTAGACTTCACCGCATATAGGCAGCCCATAGTGTGCATACGAAGCCCGAAGTCGGGCTTCGTAAGATTTCTGTGTATATCTGCTTAGCGGTACTCTTGATGAGATTATAACTGATAGCAGTGGATTCCCCTACCCCTCTTAAATATACGTCATTATGACATGTCACACCACATCTTCGGTTTTTTTAAATATATCACTCAAGTTATACAGATTTAGTTCACGATAAAACTGTAAGGCGGCACTGCTGTTTTGTATATATATATATATATATATATATATATATATATATATATATATATATATATTATATATATATATATGTATTTATAAGAGGTGTACATAAATTCCGAATGATACGAGCCAAAGTATTTGGCCTGTTAAGCGAAGCCCACTCATTTGGCAACAATGGGAAAATGTAATTTCGTGAACTAGTAATTTATTTCTACTACAATTATGTAGATTAAAACTTTGCCCCTATCTTCTATAATATGGTATTTATAATTTAATTTATGCAAAATTATATGAAATACCAACATATTGGGTAAAATATTTGTTATGTGCTAGAAAGATAATTGGAATTTTTTAAAAACACCTTGTATTTTAAAAGCACTTTCTTTCTTTTTTTCTCCCCTTCATTTTATCCTATCAGGGTGTCGGATTTGAGCTAGCTATTTTAATTTCCATTTACCCACCTCTTTCATTCTTTTCTGTTTCCTGCCATTATTTTCAATTCCTCGAGTGATTTTTGTTTAAGTTTTCCCGCCTCTACTACTTGCTGTATCCATTTTTTTTCTTGATCTGCCTCTTTTTCTTTTTCCGATGTTCTTTGCTCCATAAACTTTTCTTGTTATTCTATTGGATTGCATCCTCATCAGATGCCCATACCAGTTCGTTTGTCTCTTTGCTATTTTGTTCATTATCGGTTCCGGTTGGCCATTCACCTAATAGTCTCGTTGCTGCAGCTAATTTTCTAATTACGTGGTATCCTGCCATCCATTTATTTGCCGAACCAGAATTCGCAAACATGTATGGATTAGAATTGGGTACATCATTTGCTTGCTATCTAATTTTCAACATTAATGTTATGAATTTTTGAATTTGGGGAGAAAATAAAATTGCTATACATTTAGAACCCTTGCCTCCAGTAACTACCCTTTTGAATCGTTGACTTAATACTTTTTCAACAGTTGTTAGTGATTCAAGAAAAGCATTTTCATTTATAATATCGAGAATTCTATTGTAAGTGGATATTTTGAGATATTGTATATCGCCAATACGTTTTCTATTAAATGCAACAGTTAGTGCTAAAACGCACTCTGGTAATATCTTATTATTTACGTTAATGTTGATGTTATCTAACAGTTCATTATATGCAGCATTTGCCAAACTATGTACGTAAGTTTGAAATGCTTGTTTGTCTTCACTTAATGGAAGAAATGTAGGTTTTTCCCATTGGCGTTCATTTAACACCTTTAAAGCTATGATTGAAACTTCACTACACCAATGACCCTGAATTAATTTTCTAAGATCTTTTATTTCTTCTTTTTTTCTATTTCTATCTTCCCATGTAGTATTAGGTAATTGTTTCTTCTCAATTACTAGTTTTAGGGCAATATTACACATTATTTTTAAATTGGTACCCATATGTAATGCTAATGACGAAGCTTTGTAGCACTTCTCCACAGGATCATAGGAACTTATTTCCTTAGTTGCAGTTATAAGATTTTGGAAACATTCTGGTTTCATTGCACTAAAAAGTCCTACAATTGATATATCGATAGTTTTAAGAGCTATTAAAAGTCTTCCCATGTCCCTCATTTTATTAGATATGTGTGTAGAGATTTGTTGTCTTTTGTGTTTGTTCAAAAGGTGTTCACCATATAAACCAATAAGTGTGTCGCTTTTTGCAACTAAACTTATATTATCTGCTCGTATAATGGTAAATACTTCTTCTTTTAGCCGTGCTGCTTTCAAAAAATCTTGATTTTTAGAAATCATCGACACCAAAAAATCTTGGCTTTTAGTTAAACATCTTTTCCAGGATTTGTTTCACCGATTGGTTTTTGTTTGCAAACTTTCACATGTTTATATAAAAGCGTTTTTAGTAATGCCCTAGGCAATATGTGCAGGCAAAAAATTTGGTTTCGGGGTTACTGGAAGTTCTTACAGGATTTGTTAAATTTTTTTCAGTTTTCAAATGAAAGTATGCTTGTTTTCTCGAAGCAGATACCATCGACAATCGTTCTATGCTTCTCGGCGGCAGATTTTTAATTTGAATCACTTGTTGATTATTAGTGTGGATGTTGTTTGTCGCCCATCAGATGCGTCCCTAGGTGGTGGATAGGGGAACGTCCTAACCAGTCCTAGGACTGGCGGGTATGGCAACAGACTGGTATGGCAACCCAACAGAGTCGCTGGCCTTCCAGGTTGGGGGATATGCTAGAGGCTAACAACCTCTTGCTGCAAAAATCATATGTTACGTAACCTCAAGAACTATTAGCCGGACGGATCCGAAAAATGGAATTAAGATTAAGAACGTGGAACACCCGAACCCTGTACCGAGCTGGAACACTCGCATCTCTACTAGACATAGTGAACATGTACAGAGTAGATGTTTTGGCACTGCAGGGAATGCGATGGAGGAGAACAGGCATATATGACAAGAGAACCCACTCCATATATTACAGCTGCAATGAAAACCAACACATAGATGGAGTGGGATTTATAGTAAACCAAAGAACAAAAGGCCTAGTTATTGATTTTAAAGCCTACAGTCAAATATTGTGCTATTTAAGCTTAAACGGTAAATTATTTAATTACAGTTTAATTATTGCACATACCCCGACCGACGACAAACTAGAAGACGTTAAAGAATAGTTTTTTGAAGACCTAGAAGAAGCCTATAGAAGATGCCCCAAAAATGACATCAAGATAGTTCTAGGTGACGTGATAGTCAGAATAGGACGAGAGCGAGATTTTATGCCGACTATAAGCAGGCATAGCCTACACAACATCAGTAGCGATAACGGATTACGACTGATAAACTTAGCAGCAGCACTGAACATGACTGTCGCTAGCACTTATTTTGAACATAAGAATATACACAAGGTAACCTGGACCTCCCTTGATGGAAGAACAACTAGTCAGATTAATCACATCTCCTCCTCTTGAAGACACCGAACGGACATAATGAACTGCAGAAATTATAGAGGCGCAAACATAGACTCAGACCACTGTTTAGTGATCTCAACACTAAGGGCTAGAATTTTAAATTCCAACAAAGAAAAAAAATAGATACAAAGAAATGGAATGTACAGAAGCTGAGAGATGAAACTGCTGCAAAACAGTACTGGGAAAATATTACCAATAGGTTAAGAAATTAAAGTCCAAGCGAAGAAGACCAGAGAGATATAGACTCCTACTGGAACACGATAAAGGAAGATGTTGGGTCTGCAGCACAAGATGAAATAGGAACAGAAACTCGTACCCGAAAAAATTACTCGTTTGACGATGAATGCAAAGACGAAACACAAAAAAAAATAAAGCTTATGCAAAAATGCTTACCCGCCGGACTAGAACAAGTGTAGAGAATTACCAAAGAGAATAAAAGAAAAGAAAATACACAGAATGAAGAAACGAAACCACTTAAAAAAGGAATTTTAATATATAGAAAACCTCAACGGAGAGAAGAATTTAGAACATTCTAATAAGAAAGTTAACATCAACAGAAAAGAATTCAAGGCAAACACAAATTAATGTAGAAGTTTGAATGGCGATCTATTAACAACAAGAACAGACGTACTAAATTGATGGAGGGAATATTTTAACCAGATACTTAATATAAAGATAGAAGAAGAAAACCCTAGGACGAAAGCTGTGAGATAAGCGGAGCAGACGAGAGGGAGGAGAATCCACCAACGATCCTAGAAGTTAAAGACGCTGTAAACAAACTAGCCAGAAACAAATCACCCGGAATAGATAATCTCCCAACGGAATTATATAAGGAAGGTGGCCATGATATCATAATAGAGCTACAGTAGCTTATAAAGTTATTGGAATATTGTAATACTTTGCACCATACACAAAAAGGGAGATATCTTTGAATGCTCTAACTATCGAGGAGTTACGCTCCTAAATGCAGCGTATGAAATATTCTCCAATATACTATGCCATCGTATGGCACCATATGCAGAGCGAATAATAGGACAAT